AAAAAAAAAAAAAAAAAAAAAAAAAAAAAGAATGGATAAGTAAACTATGAATGGTAAAAACTGCAGTACCTTCTATACAGGTTTTCTACAAAAACGTATCTTGCACTATGAATCGACCTCTCCATCAGTCGTACAGGTGACATCTAAAGAAAAAACAAAAAGTGATTCACTAACTCAGGTGAAGAGGAGCAGGTCAAAGGCCTGTCCCACATCCCAGCTTTATCCCTTCATCTTTGCTGAACACAAGAATCAAGAGGCTGCAGTTAAAGTGGGCAGGACCTGAGCAGAAGCCCTGTCTGACACTAGGCTCAGCTGTGCTCCTCCCTCTGCCTGAAGCTCCCTCCATCCCTACCCTGAAGCTGCAGGAACAGCACAGGAGCAAGGGGCTGAGGGTTCACCCAGAGGCCTCTTTCCCAGCAGAGGTGAGGTTCAACTGGAATGTGGGGATACTCTGATGAAATTGGCCAGTTTTATCCACTGAGGCTCACTAGAGGGAGGGATCAAGGACCCAAATAGGGTGACTTTGCTTTAAGAAGAGTGCTTGTGTGCCACAGATTGAGCTCCAAGAGTGCTGGGGTGCAGGTGGCATTCCTGGAGCTCTAACTGTAGAAACTGGGAAGGACCTGTCACACCCGCAAGGACGATGACAGGACACTGTCCCTCGCTGCCAGGGTACCTACATCCTCCACAGATGACCTTTCTCTTTAACTAGCATCCCTTCAGGAGGAAGGAAAGGCCTCTCCCTTAACACCGAGTTGATAAACTGCTAATTCTCTCTCCCTGGTCATCTACCTGCCCCTCCAAACCTCCCTGTACCACCTTCCTCTCCATCCTCTGCATCTATGGCTGTGATTACCTTTCCCTGGCTCTCCTTCTGCTTTATTCTCCTAGCTCTCTCTGTCTCTGCCTCCTTAGCAGGGGATTTCCACCTGGGTTCCATTACATTCAGATACAATTTAGGTTTTCAATTGACTGACCACTCAGAAAAAATGGGGTAAGCCAAGGGAAAAGTACTAACTGCAGATCCTCTGATCTGTATCATATCTAGGGAGAGAGAAATTCAGTCACCAAAAAGGTTCTTCTCACATCTTCCAATTGAAAAAGACACAGATTTGTAAGAGCAGAATGGTTAACTAAAGCTGTAGGTGCTGACACCTGGATCAAACTGCCCAGCCCAGTAGCTATGCCAATCTAACTGGCCACAAATATGTCCTGTAGCTTTCATGGAAAGCCTCTAACACTGGTGTCTAAGGTTGTGCTTACAATTATGAGCCACGAGTGTCAACCAGGGTCTCCCCAGGTACCCTTCTTCTGAAAGTCTGTCCCTAGTCACATCCCCACTGATGGAAGGGCCTGAGCAGTGCTGTTTGCCCTGTGATCTGCCCCAACATTTGAGTGAACCAGGGCTGGCCAGCAGACCCAGGCTGAATCACATTCGTTCAAGAATCTGACCTAAGAGCCAGAGCCAAGAAGGTTTGATGACTGGTTCTCAAATGTGCAGACACCCAAAATGTGTACTGGACAGCTTGATAAAACCTCAACTCCAGAATTTGATTTAGCAGGTCAGGGGTGGGGACAAAAAATGCGTATTTCTAACAGGGATATTGCTGCTGTCACCACCAGCCCACACCACACTAAGAAGAACTGAGTCAAATGTTGTAGAGCTCAGCTGTGGTCAGGTCATGAAGATGTGAGCTTAGGGTGGTATCGGGGTGGCCACCTGGCCCACTGAGGCTGGACCTCAGAGAGCTGCAGGACAGGCAACCTTGCCCCGGCTGGAAATGCTATGCAGCACTGAAGGCCCTTGTGAGGCTTCTTCCCAGCAATCAAAAACCCCTAGTTTGAAGAAAATTTCATTTGGCAAGGCTGAAGCCAAGTATCTGCAACATACCTGAGGACTAGTGTGTTGGCCCAGCATGGTGAGCTGCACGTATGTCTGCAGTGTGAGGCCCCATCGACAAGCATCACGGTACATCAGACCCTGCAGAAGGGAGAATGCAGCATTTTACGGCAAAGAACTTGCAGGAACCTGGTCTATCGGTCCCTAAAGGCCAGCTCAAGAAACCTACATGGGACTGGGGAGAAGCCAGAGGTGAACCCAGAATGTTTATCAGAGCTTTCGAAAGGACCGGACAAAGAGAGCCACTAAAGCAATCATAGGACAGCCCAGTGACAGCTGGCCCAGGATGATCCCCAGAGACCATGCATTCTGTCATTCAATAAAGGTTCTTTGAGCCCCCTGAGGTCTATTCTCTATCCATTAGCCAAACTGAGTGGGTTAAACCAGTTCTTGTCAACCACCCTGCTCAGAACTTTCCAGGAACTCCACATTAGATTCAGAATGCAACCCAATTCCTCATCATGATCCACAGGCCCCTTGAGACTGACTGCCATCCTCTCTCGTCTACCATTCTCCCTCCAGTCAGTCAGCTTTCAACCACACGTGCCAAGCAAGGCCCCACCTCAGGGCCTTTGCATCTGCCATTCCTGCTTCTGGAATACTTCCTCCAGATGCCTGCAGTGCTCCCTCTCTCCTGTCTAACTCTGTGCTCAAATGTCACCTTATCAGACAGTCCTATCTAAAATAGAAGCCCCCCACCCACCCTAAACACCACTAGTAGATGCAAAATACCTTTTGCTCCATAGTCCACTCACAATCTTTTTCTGTCCTTTTGATTTTTGTTTTTTGTTATCTTGATGCAAATTTAACACACCCCAGTGCTTTGCACTGAAAAGTGCAGACCCTCTTCGATGCAGAGAAAAGAAAATCTCAGAAACATTGAGAGCCAAATAGCTGTAGCAATAGACATGCTTCAGAGAACCAATCAGACAAAGTGATGGACTGACACACTTCAAAAACATCTATCTTGCTCTCTGTCCAGATGATGTAAAAATATCTAATTCTGTTGTGCTTACTATTCCACTTTCACTGAAAATGCTATTTGTATCAAGGATACTCAGCCTTCAGAGGTGGTGATTCTGTCCAATAATGTGGCACCTATAATCTGACATGTGCAATTCTAGTTGTCTTACCTAATAATCAAGCCCTGGTTCCTCCCTGGCTTCTAAAGAATGTGGTTTTTTTTCTTTTTTCTTTTTTTTGTTACACTCAAAGATGACTGGCACTCCATCTGCTCCCGCACGCACACAGATGAAATTTTTCTCATATCTCTGTGGGATGCTTTATTCAAAGACTCTGAGAGCTTACCTATTCAAGTAACATCTTTTTACCTGCTTAACTTTCTTCACAGCTCCTATCACCACCCACAATAGTCTACATCTAACTGTCTCCTGTCATCCCATACTGGATTAGGGCCAAGACAAAAGGGGCTTTGAAGTGCTCACTGTCCCAGCATCTGGAATAGAGAAGGTAATAGAATCAATACTGGCTGAATGAACAAGCACCTTCTAAGAGCCTATGTTCAAACAAACAACTGTGAATAAAATATACACAGGCCCTACCTTCAGTGGAACTGAGTCTAATGAGCCACACAAGGAGATGGCAACTGCACTACTAAGAATGAAGGAGCAGCACAGGCTTCCAAGGCCAAGGCTCAAAGCTAGAACTGTCATATACCAGCTGTGTGACCTTAAACAATGTATTTAAGCTGCAGTTTCCCAATTGAAAAGTAAAACTAGTTATTCCTACGTAATGGACTGAAAGCCCAGAATAAACATTCCTTTCTTGAGCCCTCTTGGGCAGGAACCAGGTTCTATCCATCTCTTTCAAGCAAGCAGAGCAGAGTCTTCTGAAGGGGAAAGGAAAGTCGGCACATATACATTCTAGCCCCTGCTTTCAGGTCCACCCTGAGAAGCAGACAGGTGGCTTCAGGGAGAGTCACAGGCAGCCAGTTACTGGATATCCCAAATACAAATCAAAATCCAGGGTTCACCAAAGAACTTGGTGCTATGGCTTGTGTCTAGCTGTCCTCCTAAAGCCTTATTCAGTCATAGGTGGAGCTTTTCAGAGTTGGCTGGTTCTTTTTACCTGCTTAGCTTTCTTCACAGCTCCTATCACCATGATGCTGGGATTGTGTGATGCTGAAATTAAGGTATGTGTTTACTTAATCCACTGATTGGTTTGGCATAGTTCTGAGTGTGGATAATGGGAAGACCCACCCTGGGAGTGAGTGCTATCTGCCCTAATGGTATGTAGACTACACAGAATATAAAGGGCAGAAAGAAGGCTGCTCCCATGGCTTGCTGCTTGCTACCACAATGCTTTGATGCCTTCCTACCTTCTGTCCACCATGAATTGTTTCTCCTCTGCAATGCCCCTCTGCCATGCCACCCTGCCTTGGAGTCAGGCAACTATGAACTAAAACCTCTACAAACTGTAATCTTTCTTTTTTAACTTCAGGTGTCAGGTATTTTGTTTCATCGATTAAAAAAAAGGATTGGGGATTTAGCTCAGTGGTTCCACCACCTGCTTTGTAAGTGCAAGGTCCCAAGTGTGATCCCCAGCACCAAAAAAAAAAAAAAGAAAACAAAAGTAATTAAGACACCTGGTTAGAGTTTGGTCCTGGAGGATTAGGCCTAAGGAGACCTAGGTTCTGATAGCCATTTGGGATGACTTCAGATAGCCAATGGGAATCCCTTGGCTCTGCACACCTACCCAGACCTAAGAGATCTGTGACCTCAGAATCCTAATATACCACTATTTTTTGCTTATCCCTCCCATTCTTTTCCAACTCAACTAACAGAAAAAAAGTGTCTCCATGGGCTTGGATTCAGGTTTCAGCACCACCTTCCCAGGCACTTAAGAAGCTAGAGCAGTGATGATGCACCTTTTAGAGACTGAGTATCAAACTGCAGCCCAAACCTCACTTATTTGTCACAAAGTCCCAACACATCAATTAAACCTGAATACTGAAGTTTTAGTTTAGAAAAAACAACTCTACATTAACATCTTTTGTCTTAAAAGAAAAACACAATACCATCCATGGCATCACTTTGCCACCACTGAGCCAGAGATTCACGCAAGGAGCCACTCACCAGAGGATTGTGGCCATGGACATTTCTCCACTTGGACACAGGCTCCATTAACACCTGGAAGAAAAGAAAACACTGAGCAAGCTGTTAATGCCCAGTTAAGCTCTGTTACAGTGTGAAAGTGTTGAGAGAGAGAGAAAGGCACTATCAAGATGTGGCTGCCCAAGATGGCGCCAACAGCTCTGCAAACCCCTCTGTGAAGCCACAACTCCATCTAGATGTGGCCTCCTCATGTAACTTCCAGAAATGACCCAAGAACAACTGAAATCTGAAGGGTGAGCAATCTTCCTAAAGTGTCATGTGTATCAGTCAGAGTTCTCCAAAAAGGCAGAACCAACAGGGTAAATGTAGAAATAGATATATGAGAGGGAATTAATTAGGGAAATTGGTTCTTGTGAAGGCTGAGAACCCTATCTTATGACAGACTGCAAACTGGAGTCTGAGATGCTGGTAGCATGGCTCAGCCCAAATCCAAAAGCCTCAGAACCAAGGAAACCAATGGTGTAATTCTCAGTCTGAACCCACGGCCCTCTGGTCTAAGTGTTGCCTGAAGTCCAAAGGTTGGAGATGCTGGATTTAAGGGCAGGAAGAAGCTCTAGGGGAGAGACAGAGGGAACTTTTTCTTTCCCTTTTTGTTCTATCCAGGATGTAGCCAACTGGATGTTGCCTGTCCACACTGAAGGTGGATCTTCCCCTCTCAGTACACTGACTCACACATCAGTCTACCTGGAAACACTCCCCAAACGTACCCCAAAACAAAGATTTCCCAGTTCTCTAAGTAAAGTAGCCCCTCTTATTCATGGGAGATAAATTATATGACCTCAGAAACTACACATTACTGGGAGTCCCCAAGTCCCCTTCTTCACCAGGCTTGATGATTCACAAGACACAGCATAAAAGACTCACAGCTAAAATCTGTTACTATGAAAGGACACAGAGTAAAATCAACATAGAAAAAAGGTACCTAGGGGGAAAAAGTGAGGACTGGTGGGAACCTTTTTAAGATCTACATTCCCATACTCTGGCCAAGGGCCAACCTTGTAAGCAGTCCTCTGTGTAGTCAGGAGTCCTGGTCTGTCCTAGGCCCTGGTATCAACTCTTTCTAAACAGGAACACAAGAACACAGCAAGACAATTTTTATTATCTTTATCAAAGCATAAAAACAGGAAAAGAAGGAAAGAATGAAGAAAAAAAAAAAGACTGTAACTGGATGAAAACTGCAGTATAGTCTGATCATCCTCAATCTGAAAATCTGATACACAAAATTTTCTGAGTGCTGGTATGATGCCACAAGTGGAAAATTCCATACTTGACATCACATGACAGATCACAGAAAAAAGGCAGGCACACTAAATCCATTATATAAAATTACCTTCAGTGTACATGTACTATCTAAGGTATATATGGCACATAAATTAATTTCATGTTTAGACTTGGGTTCCATCTCCAAGGCACTTTATGAAAAATATGTAAATATTCTGAATCTAAAAAAATAAGTCTGAAATACTTCTGAATCCAAGCATTTTTTAAAAAGCCGCAGACATAAGATTACACCCCTAAAATCCAGAATAAGGAAGAAAGTTCATAGCCCTGTTATAGAAATAATTCTCAAACATCTGTGAGGTTATTTTAAGTGGTTGCACTTTAAATAAACTAGAAATTATATTAACTGGCTACACTAATATCTCAGATGTTACACTGTAACATTTTAGTCCTATACAATAATTTCGTTTTTCTTCTTTCACATGTAGACTTTTTTCCTAGCAAGACTGGGAAGAGGTCTATACTTGCATTCTCCAATGTAGTGGCCATGAATCACATGCGGCCGTTTGTTGTTGTTGTTGTTATTGTTTTGTTTTGTTTTTTGAGACAGGGTCTCACTATGTAGTTGAGACTGACCTGGAACTCACTATGCAGCCTAGGCTGATCTCAAACTCACAATGATCCTCCTGACTCAGCCTCCCAAGTGCTAGGATTACAGGTGTGCACCATCATGCCCGGCTTTTCTTGTTTTTTGAGAGGATTTCACTATGTAGTTCAGGCCTTGAACTCACTATATAGTCTAGGTTAGCCTAAACTCATGGCAATCCTCCTACCTCAGCCTCCCAAGTGATGGGATTACAGGTGTGTGGCCATTACATTTTATTTTTATTATATTCTAAAATTTCTATTATAACTTTGAAATGTGACTACAGATGTCCTTTGAGTTATAATGGAGTCATGTCCCAATAAATCCATCCTAAACTGAAAATATCCCAAGTTGAAAATTCACTTAATACATTTAATATACTGCACATCAGAGTACAATATCTGCTCAATGTGCACTGCTTCAACACCACTGCAGAGTCAAGAACTCTCCATAGTCCCAAGTGAGAGACGCAGTATATATAAAATACATATCAGATTCCATACTTAACAGAAAAAATAGAATGTAAAATAGCTCATTGATGGTTTTTTATCCTGATTACATGTTGACCTTATAATATTTGGGTGATCTCATGTTAAATAAAATGTTCTTAAAAAATAACTAAAATGGAATCAGCATAGTGAAAATGGGCCATACCTCCAAAACTTCTATATAGATTTAATGCAACCCCAACTGAAATTCCAGCAGCATACTTCACAGACCTTGAGAAAAATCCAAAAATTCATTTGGAACAGAAGAGACCTAGAATATCAAAAGCAATTGTAGGCAATAAAGACAAGGTAGGGGTATCACAATTCCCAACTTGAAACTAAACTACAAAGCTACTATGATAAAACTTCATGGTACTGGCAAAGAAACAGACCTGAGGACCAGTGGAACAAATTAGAAGATGCAGAAACAACACCAAACACACACAGCCACCTCATCTTCGACAAAGGAGCCAAACACCCTCACTGGAAGAAAGATAGCCTCTTTAATAAATGGTACTGGAAAGAATGGGTTTCAATTTGCCAAAGTCTAAAACTAGACCTATACTGCTCACGATGAACTAAACTAAAATTGAAATGGGTTAAAGATCTAAATATTAAAACAGGAACACTAAACTGGCTGGAAGAAAGGTTAGGTAGAACTCTTGAAGACACTGGCATAGCGCAGATTTATGAACAAAACCTCAGTTGCCCATGAACTAGCACAAAAACTCAACAAGTAAAATCTCTTCTTGTTAAAAGCTTCTGTACAGCAAGAGAAACCACCAACAGAATGAAGAAACAACCCACAATATAGGAAAAAAATTTTACCAGCTATTCCTCAGACAAAGGACTACTATCTAGAATATATAAAGAACTTTAAAAAAAGACCTCTCAAATTTAAAGACCCAATCCAAAAATGGGCATCTGAAATGAACAGACATTTCTCCAACAAAGGAGTAGAAATAGCAAATAAACGTGTGAAAAAACGTTCAACATCACTGGTCATTCGAGAAATGCAAATTAAAACAACGGTGAGATTCCACCTCACCCCAGAAAGAACGGCTGCTATCATGAAATCCACCAATAACAAATGCTGACAGGGCTGTGGGGAAAGAGGAACCTAGCTCCAGTGCTGGTGGGAGTGTAGACTGGTGCAACCACTGTGGAAATCAGTATGGAGCTACCTCAAAAAATTAGGACTGGAAATTCCATTTGACCCAGCTATCTCCCTGCTGGGTAACTTCCCCAAAGAATTAAAAGAATCATACCACAGTGATATATATGCACCCATGTTCATAGCAGCTAAAACTTGGAAGCAACTCAATTGTCCACCCACAGGAAACTGGATAAAGAAAATGTATGGTTTTTTAAAATAAAATGGAGTACTACTCAGCCATAAAGAATGAGAAACTAAGGCTGGGGATTTAGCTCAGTGGTTCTGCCACCTGCCTTGCAAGCACAAGGTCCCGAGTTCAATCAAACAACAAAAAAAAAAAAAAAAAAGATGAGAAACTAGAGACAATTATAGCTAAATGGATGGTCATTGAGGTGGTACTCTTTTTTCTTTTCTTTTTTTTTTGTACTGGTATCTAACTTTGGGACCTTGTACTTGCAAGGCAGGTGGTGGAACTACTGAGCTAAATCCCCAGCTAGGCGATACTGTTAAGTGAAATAAATAGGACACACATGTGTAAATGCCAAACAGCTTCTCTAGTGCGAGAAACTGAAAGTGTAAATAGGGACTAAAAGGTATAATAGATAATGTGAAATAGGAAGAAAAGGTGCAAAGGGGAAGGGAAAGCAGGAAGGGTAGGGGAAAAGAAAGAAGGGAATGGATTATGAAAAAATGAAGAAATGGAAACAAAGTCTTTGTAGAGAGAGGTGGAGGGGTTAAAGGGCCAGAAGAGGAAAGGGGAAAAAAAAAGAGCCAAGAGAGATTACGTAAAGGTGCAAATTTCCAATGATGAATGTTATTATATTGTATACCTTAAATGTACCAATAAAATTTTTTTAAAATAGGAAAAAAAAAAAAAAAGAATTGTTATACTATAGGCTAGAGACACAGCTCAGTGGTGAAGTGCTTGTCTAATATGCAAAAGGCCCTGGATTCAATCCCCAGTACTATTAAAGAAAAAAAAAAAGAAAGAAGAAAAAATGAAATGTTAAATTATATATCTGGCTGTACTAACAGCTTGTATTATATTCCTACTAGACAGGGCTGTTCTATGTCCTCTATAGATTATCCTATCAAACTTTTTCAGGTTCTTCAAACCCAGTGTAAATGCCTTACCTCGATATCTGTTGCACTGGACAAAAATTCCAGGCATGTTGTCTTCCCACTTGCAATATTGCCCTCGACACAGATCTGGCAAAAGACAAATGTACATCAGAGCCAGAAACCAAGCACCTAAGGTATTCGTGGCAAACTTAAGGCACGAGTAAGAATTGTTACTATAGGCTAGAGACACAGCTCAGTGGTGAAGTGCTTGTCTAATATGCAAAAGGCCCTGGATTCAATCCCCAGTACTATTAAAGAAAAAAAAAAAGAAAGAAGAAAAAATGAAATGTTAAATTATATATCTGGCTGTACTAACAGCTTGTATTATATTCCTACTAGACAGGGCTGTTCTATGTCCTCTATAGATTATCCTATCAAACTT